ATACTTTGTAAATATTTATATAATAATTAATATTAATGGAATACTTTTTTGTAGGTCAAATTAATGATGGTGCTGAAAAATCACACTCAAGCAATGAACTCGTTTCAATTAATGATTATTTAGTTTGGATTTTGGATATTCTACATGTACATACATGTAATTTTATAGTCTACTTTGATTGTTGTTTGTTGAACTACTCAATTAATTCCACATTTCGTTTAGAATATAATACATGATAAAGTGCACATATTTAATGATATAGTCTATTATTATATGTTCTATATTGATGATACTAATATCTTATTGAAGTGTATAATTCTATTTTTAATAATTTATAAGTGTAATATTCTAATACACGTTTATCAATGATAACGTAATTGAATGTGTTTTTTTACTATAACTAATATTCTAGATTTGATTATTGTTATGTGTTATATTCTACATTGATATTTGTTGTTGATATAATCAAGTAGTGTTATATTTTAAAAAGTTCATTATGTATAAACCTCTGAAAAGTAACAACATATAACACTATTATAATAGAATATTCTACATATACTACACATTATTTTCATATAATAAATTAATTTATTTATTTAAAACCTCTAACATAATTCTATTAGAATATTCTACATGTACATTTATGAAAACAAATAACACATAACATTATTCTATTTGAATATTCTACATATACATATTATTTTTATTTAATAAATGAAATTATTTAACAAGAAACTTATAAAATTATTCAATTAGATTATCAACATCATATCATGCGTAGATTCAAATGAGATGACCTTAATATTGTGAGGCTATGAGACCATGAGACCACATTTCTCTAGTAAAATATTTTAATATTTTAGTATTCATAAAAATATAATATATATAATATTCTAATGTTCTAAAACATATAACATTATTTCAAAAGAATTATTATACATGAACATACAACCTGTAAAATTATTCTATCAGAATATTTTAAATATCCATATTAAATAAGTCTTATTAAATTACATATAACTATAAATTCATTTTTTTTTGTAAAAAGGTCATTACATATAAATCTATAAAAACCAACAAAATTTAACACTATTCTAATAGAATGTTCTAAATGTCAATTTTTTTTTGAGGCCTTAAAACCATTAAACCATTTTTCTCCTGTGAAATATTCTATTATTTCAATGTTCATAAAAATATAATAAATGTAATATTCTAATATTCTAAAACATATATCATTATTCAAATAAAATTATTATACATAAGCATACAACTTATAAAATTATTCTATTAAAATATTCCTCATATACACAGTAAATAGGTATTATTAGCATTACATATATTTATAAATTCTAAAATACTATTGTAAAAAGGTCATTATATATAAATCTATAAAAAAAACAACATTTAACATTATTCTAATAGATTATTATATATGTACAGAAAACATTTGATCATAAAAACATGATATTTCAAATTGGTCAAAGCATAACTATTTTTTAACCATGACTATTATTCTGTGAAACATTCACTGACCATTAAAACAACCATACCTATTTTTCAAAAATAAAAAAAGATAACCAATATTCAAACAAACAAAACACTACCATGTCAATCATAATCAAAGACTTTCAAATATTCTAAAAAAATTATTCGCGTCCTTCCAGTATATTTCTTGCATCGATCCATTCCAGCATCATTTTTAATGACCATCCTTATCAACCTTTCCCTATTCCTTTGCTTCGTCAGTTACTTTCTTATGGAATTGGAATCTGATTGGTCAAAGCATAATTATTTTGTATGCTTCTTATTCTGCAAAAAACCTTCTTTACTCAAGTCAATATTTCACATTTCCATTTACTATTCCAGAATAAATTTCCATCTGTCGCATTAAGAACACATCAAAATAAATTTCATTAGCTTTCAATGTGTATCAAACACTAATCCGAGCTACAGTAAATAATTTCAAAAATATTTAACCGAAACTACAATAAAGAAGTTTATTTCTAGCCCAAGCTATAGTGAATCAGGATCAAACACTAACCATAGCTACAATATAAATTTTAGAAAAATAATTCTTAATTTAGAATAAAATTTTTAACAACTTCTTGAAGCCTATTACAAGAGATGATTTAGAATCTACATTATATAGAATCTAAATTTGAATCTAATATTATCGAACTAAAACATAAAGAGATGAATTCCGTTATGTCAGGATAAAATAACAAATTCTCAAAATTTTAGCTTTGACTTATCAAAGTAAACAGTAACATCTGGTTAATCAATAAAATAACATCTTAAATCAAATTTATGAGGTGACACCAAACTTTACAAATCATAATACCTAGGATATTAAGTTACTAAAGACTATTTTACTAATATTTTTACTAGATAATCTAACTTATCAAACAAAGTATTAAATGGTACCATATTACTTATCAAACTAGAAAACTTAGAATATCAAATTATCCAATAACATTTCACTCAATATTTACTAGATAATCCAATTACTCAAACAAAATAACATCTAAAATCAATTTAGGAAGCAAGTTATGTTTGCATAACATTCTATCATTTTTAATAATAATTTTCTTGCAGAAAATATGAAATCAATACAGAGTGCATTATGTCGAACACCTAGCGGGCGATCACTAAATTTACCAAACACCTAACTGACACTAGAAGTATGAAACTAATAAGATAAACCAAACAAACTAAGATCTTGAATCAAATTATAATTCAAATTCCAAGAATATCTCTACAGATTTTGTGAATAACTTCATTTATGCATAATAACATAGCTTGGATTGTAGATTTATTTACATTGAAATTGTTAACAGCCAAAAATGAGTCGATGGAATCTTTCATTACCTGATGAGAAGAATCCTTCCTCAACTAAGAATTATGAGAAGAAGTAGCAGTTGCAGGATTAGCAGAAACATGATTCAAGAGCAAAATATGAATAAAAACGTTTAGAATCAAAATGACAGTGAATCAAAAATGATTTTTAGGGTTTTATTGGGTTTTTTGGAAGATTGGTGCAAAGTAGAATCAGAATGAGAAGAAATCTCAGAGATGAATACATCAACTCATAATCACATACATATTATAAAATCGACAATTAGAATATTTTAACTCAAAATCACACACAAATATAAAATCAAGAAGAAATTATAGTATTATACGTCACCTGGATTAACTCTTGATGCAAAATATGAATCTGATTCTGTAGAATGATCCATTTGTTGTAAAACTAAGCTTCGATTTCATTTGATTCAGGAATGTTGATGGTCGAGAAGTTGATCCGATTTTAGAATCAAAATAACAATGTTGAAACTCCGAATCAGAACGAAGTAGAAGATGTTATTGATCGAGATTGAATAAGACGAATTTTGTTGTTCGTATCGAGGTTGCTAAGGGTTTTGCAGTTCAGAATGAAGAAGATTGAAGAGGATAAAAAAGTTTTTACGACCTGAACGAAATAGACAGTAAAATCCCCTTATTGCCCCTCCGCACCCTTATTCTAATCCTGAAGTTCCATTTAATTGCAAAAATGCCACCGTCTCCTTGTGCTTCCTTATTGTGTAATATGATTTTATTTTAGCCATAGATTATTCAAGATGCATGGTCAAGATTTGGTCCCCTTGTCTCACAAAATACTATTGTCTCACATGAACCTAACCATATATATATATATATATATATATATATATATATATATATATATATATATATATATATATATATATATATATATATATCGGCCTAGGTTATTCTATTCAAAGTAATTATTGTGTTATTGTATGCATAATCGTGGGTCAATCAATTTTACTTGTTTTAAGAAAATGATTAATATATATTATTGAATTAAATGTAATTGAAAAATATCATATAATTTAATTACAAGGGTATTTTAGTAAAATAATATAGATTTAATAAAGGAAAATTGCATATTTTAAGGGATCATAGATTCTTTTAAATTTAAAAATCCGATTTTACGTATTATAACTATTTTAATTCGAACGTTCTCACAGAATACGTTTATTTATTTAATTATTTACTCAAAAATAAAAATATTGTTGAACCATAAATAATAAAAATATTCGTGAACCTAATTATTGATCATGAATTTAAAAACTTCTTGTAGAATAACAAATTTTTGAACAATAAATTGAAGAATAAAAACAGAAAATACATTATTTCTTAGAGAATATGCGTAAAAATTATTAAGAATTACATTTATTGTTAAAGAATAAAACTGAAAAAAACTTTCAAAGCGGGAAAGAAAACATCAAAATTTAACGACCAGTACATTCTAAAAGAATAATGTGGTCCGTTTCAATTTTGTGGTCTGTTCTTCAAGTATCAACTTCTGTATTCCAACAGAATAGGAATTCGTGATTCCATTTCAACTGAATTGGAGTACGTGATTCCATTCCAATAGAATTGGAATCTCACCAATATCATCCATTGAATCATCTACATAAACATACTTGATACCTTTTCAGAATTCAACCTTGTCAAGATTCTGCACTGTCCACATAAATGAAGTGTTAAATCAGAAGAATAAAAAAAAAAAACATAAATTGAAATATGAATCAATTCATAAAATGCAGCCAAACAAATTGGAATTACCTCATAAGCCTCGTTTTTGTCAAAGCCTGCAAACACTTTCAAATTGAACATATTAAAATAAAACATCTAATCCATCTATTTCAATATGTCTTTCTAGGAACCCACACAATGGATAGTTTTGCACAACATTATCATAACATATTAGAATATGGTAAAAAGCTTTCAATAATTAAAAAGCATTAAGTAAAATGTAAAAAATTACAGTGGTCAAAATAACCTGCTTTAGAAAACTTGCAAGCTTCTTAACCTCAACCTTTTCTTGAACCAACTCTCCTTCCCTTTGTGTCAATTGACCTGATAAAGCTTCAAGCTAATCAGAAACATCAAAAATGAACATTTTTAGCAACTTAATTCAAAGGGAAAAAAATATGGATTATGATTATCAATTTATGTCACTCGACAGGATCATCTTGATCAACCCGGTGACACAAGGAATGGTGGTGATCGGAGGTGGCGCTACAACTGGTTTCGAATCCCGGATGAACGATCCAACGAGGAAGGACGGCCAGCCACCGACGCCTCAAACGTCGATCGATGCCATGCCGACTGTGGAGATAAAAGGTACAGATGAAATAGAGAGTTTAGGGGGTGAGTGTGTGAAGAACAACAACATGCAACAATTCAGTCGGCAATGGAAGCCAGCTCTGACCTTCCTCTATTCTTCGAGATTATGAACGATGGTGATGATGATCTTTGGTACAAAGAAGATTGTTGATGGGGATCGGTGGAAGTAGTGAGGCGTTGTTGTAAATCGAGGGGTGGTCGTCGATGGAAGATTTTTATGGTGGAATAGGGTTTTTGATAGTGAAGGCCGTATATTAGAATGAGAAGAAATTAGGTCAAAGTCAAAATAACTAGCATAATTATAGGAAGTATTTGTGGAAGTTATTCACAAAATTACTTTATTACCCTTATTTATTTATTTAATTTTTTATTTAATTTTTATTGGCCCACATTTATACATACAATAACACAATAATTAGTTTAAACACTTGAACCTAGCTTTCTCTCTCTCTCTCTCTCTCCCTCTCTGTGTGTGTGTGTGTGTATATATATATATATATATATATATATATATATATATATATATATATGAATATGATAATTAGATCATGCTCTTCAAAATTATCTTCAATCAAAATCAGTCATGGAAAATCCATGTATTCGATCAAGACCGAGTTCATCTCAGTTATCCGAATCGAATCATCAACCAAACCATTTTGATTAGCCTTCACTCCTTTGATGATCATATCCAGTTCAACCAAATTGAAATCTTATTCAAGCAAATTCAAAACTCATCAAATTGAATCAGTACCGGGAACAACTTCCCCAATACAGGTTACATGTTACCGTATCTCTGATGAAGATCTTATGCAAACATATACCTCCAAAATTAACCAAACCTTCGTGATTCTTTTAGAGAATAATCATCGGATTCAACTTGGTTAAACACGAAATACTTGTTCACACCTTATTTGATTTCCCCATTTCAAATTAGTAAGAGAGTAGGGTTTGATTTTATAGATAAAGGTGAAGAAATCTAGGTCAAAATAGAAATCTTGGTCGGGGTAGATGAACAGAACTGGGTCGGGGGTACTGGAACTTGGGTTCGATCGATTAAGAAATACAAACGTTTGGGACCTCGCTTTATTGATATATGGATGCCAAAGCCATTGTCGATTGATGCAAACTTGCTTCTTGAAATCGTTCATGGATATAAACCACCTTCAAGACTTTCAATATGCAAACTAGAATTCGACTTCCTCAATTCCTCGGTTTCATCTTCCAAATCCTTCAATTTACAGAGCTTTAATTGAACCGGTGGATCAATCCCATCAACACCTTCGTGTTCACCCTCCGATATTTTTTCAACTCTTTGTTGCAGATCCAAGATTCGTTCCTTATTTTGTTTGGTTTCCACTCGAAGTTTCCTCTTTAGAACTTTAATTTTAACTTTTTGCAGCTTCAAGATCCGCTAAAACCTTCGTATAATCTACAATTTGTGCCTCTAATCTCCTGTTTTCAGTTTGTAAGGACTCGATCTTGAGATTAAAAAGCTTAGCCTCCATGGTGTTTAGTTTAAGATGGTTTTGAAGCTCCTTGACTACAGTTTCTTGCTTCGGTGATGGAGTTTTTGATGAAGGAGACGGTGGCGGGATTTGAGGAGGCTAGGGATTTAGGGAGTGATGGTTGGACAAGAGAGAAAGAGATTTTTTTTTTAAAATTTTTTTAGTTAGAAAATAATTAAATAACAAAAAGAAAATCAAAAAACAAATGGAAAAGGGCAAAACCATCATTCTTAGATTTTTTTTAACTGATTTGGACTAAAACCACGACAAAATGAAAAGTTTTGGACTACTGGTACTAGTCCAAACTTGTTTGGCCCAAAGTAGCATTTTTGGACATACCACATGGACTATTCTTGCAATTTTGTCTATCTATATTACCAGAGTAAAACAACATTGAGATTTAAAAATATAAAAACGTAATATGTTTTGTGTTATAAAAACCAAAAGTATATTTGTTAGTTTTGGGTAAAGAATAAAAGTATGGTGTTGTTTTGGGAGAATAATTGAGGTACATTGTTATTTGGTTTAAAACTATAAGTACATTCTGCTTTGCGTAAAAAAAAATATAAACATGTTTCCTTTTTGGTTTAAAGATACAAATTATTTGGTTTAAAGATATCAATGTACCGTAGTTTTTTGCTAAAAAGAATAAAAGTTGTTGTTTGGTGGGATAAAATAAAAGTATGTTGTTTTTTAATAGAAACTAGTGTAGGTGCCCATGCTTTGCATGGATTGAAATAGTGTTTTTTTTATTATTATTTTGTGTACGTGAGGTAGTGATTAGCCATGGTAGATAGTATTCCATTGTTAAAAGCATACAAAGATGATTACATAGCAAAAGCATACAACATCTGATCCTAAACCAGTTACCGAAGTCTATGTCTTTAGAGTGATGTTAGCATGGGATTTCATTTGTATAGGAAGGGTAAATTTGTCTCCATTTGAATGTATATCCTCACTCTCCATTTGAATGTATATCCTCACGAATAAGTGTGATTGTCATACAACCCTATATAAACAAAAACAAACTATTCCATAATTCATATTCAAAAAAGAGCATTAGAAGGAAGTAAAGTTGAGATTGGGCATTCAGAGTGTGTTCTTAATGTATGTCAATAATGCACAAAATTTATTCCATAATTCATATTCAAAAAAGAGCATTAGAAGGAAGTAATGCTGAGATTGCGCCTTTCAAATTGTGTTCTTAATGTATGTTAATAATGCACAAAATTTAGAACATCTTTTGCAGAACTATTTACAGCCACTTATAGAAGAGAAATGTCATCGATTATAATTGTAATCTTTTTGTTTATTGATTTGGCTTCCATAACTTTATGAATATCTCCATACAAAGCCACACTCCAGCATAAGCATGTAAAAGAATATCAATCTTTTATTCACCCTTTGCACAACTAAGTTGTAACCTTGTTGAAACATTTAATGATTTAAAGATTAAAGACTTTCATAACTTCTAACAGATAACAATATAAATACAATAAAACATTGAAAGTTTGTGTGACAATCCAAAATTTCCATTCTGTACAAACTATATCACTTCAGTAGAATTTATAGCAGTCACCGTTGATTTTCAGACTTTCTCGTGTAAGTTTGAGTAATTTAGGGTTTACACTTCAGGAGATATCAGGAGAGTGGATGCACTAGGGTTTAGTGCAACTCTATTATTCCATCACTCTATTATATTAGAAGTCATTTCAGGAATAAAAATATTTTCTACCAAAAATATCTCAGGACTATAAATAGAATTCTGAACCAAATTCATTTATTATTCGCATTTCCAACTAGAGAAAAGCCATTTTCTCTCTCACGGATCTTTGGGTTTTTATCCCAAATCGTGAGTACCTCTTTCTAGTAGTGTTAGAAAGCATTATACGTAGTTATAACATGATTTAGAAGGCTAAATCACTAGATTTAGGAGTTTACTCCCCAAGGTGTTCTTGGGCGGTAAACTCCCGAAACAAAGCTGAGACCAACCCTTGTGTTATGCAACTGCCTTAGACTTATATGTATGTGTGTTAGGGACAAGAAAACAACCAAGAATCACCCAAGTTTGGGAGTTCACGGCCCAAGAGTTCCTTAGGCCGTAAACTCCCTTTTCAAACTCAAAATGGTGTTTTAAGGCACCTAAAGCTTTAAGACTTTTATCAAGACTTGTTCCCATTTAATCTAAGGCCTTAAGCACATAAAAATCACTTATCAAAGTGAGTTTATGGCCAAGACTTTGTTCTTGGGCCGTAAACATGAAAGAATGGCACCAAAGTGTGCCTAATGTCTTCATATGCTTGGAATAAAAGCCTAGAACTTATACCACCTATGCTTGAGACTTGAAAACAACAAGAACACCATTCCAAGGGAGTTTACAGCCGTAAACTCCAAAGGAAATGGCTTTAGGGCCGTAAACTCCTAAATAGAGTGTTTCTAGACCTTAAACCCTTCCAAGGACTTAGCCACCAAGTTGGAAGAATTCTAGGAATCATTAGGGACTTCAAAACACACCAAACCCCCATGGTTTGGAGTTTACGGCCGTAAAATCAAGAGTTTACAACCGTAAACTCCATGTGTGATGGTATATGGGGAGTAAACTCACATATAGGGTCCTTCGGAACCCTAAAACACAAGTGCCTTGTCCCACATTAGCTTAGATGCAATACTTAGGGCCTAAAACACTTATATAAAGTGTTTAATTTTGTCTAGGATGTCTTAACATTATCAATTAGTGATTTAAGTCTAATTGAATGCATATATATGTGATTATATGTTCATTAGGATCGTAGTGTGTGTACAAGTCCTCGCTTGACACCTAGCAATCCTATACCATTCAGTTCATCCCAATCACCAACTACAGGTGAGTTCATACCCCTTAATCAATGTTTTAAATGATTTTAAACATTTTAATGGGGGGGGGGGGGAATACAAGTGGAAAACAATATGTTATTAAATCAATCTTATGTATTTTATAACTGTGTTTTCACTCAGTAGATTTCACATATTTCAAAAGGTGACACATGAAGTGGTTTTCTATCTTAAAATACCTTGATAACAAACGTATTAGTTTTGAAATGTTTATTAAAATGACATCAAGTCATTCTTAATTATTGTTCAAAACTCCAAGATATCTTGCAAAACCATTATTTTACCTTATTGGATCAAACTATACTTATGCGCATATGGTCATATATATGTTAGAGATTATAGTTTTCACCCTTCATTTAGTTTCCAATACTCTTGGGTAGCAAGAGTGCATAAACCTACGTAAACAACCAATTACCTTTCAGTTTACTATCATAGCGATAGTTAGAAGATATCAAACATTATTACTACTACAAGGAATCACACAAGAGTCAGTTCATTCATGAGTCTATACCAATACCTTACATGATACATGAGTACACTTACTTAGGATTACATGATACATGAATATGTTTACATATACTTACCTGTTACACGAACACACTTACATGAATATCATACAAGAACACTGTTACATAGGTGCATTATTCTGTATTCACTTACCTGGATACTTGTACTTAGGACTACGAGGATGATTTATTAGTACTTACTGTGTAAATTATCTTTCCTATCTCGGT